ATGGTTATTTTAGCACACTATATGTTGGAGATATGCTTAAATATGATATTTCTCATAAGGGAAATGAATGTCATTTTCACCTCTTCTTAACTTGTCGCTACTCTTCGTAGTTAATTAAAAATATGTTAGTTGAAGAATTTGTTTTTTCTCCTTGAACCCAATTTACAACAATTCCTAGCCCATTCTTCTACCTTGAGTAAAAAATTCTCATCTAGACTCTATTGCCTCATTATCTTAATCTTGATTTACATCATTTAGTCTGAAACCTTCAATAGATTTTTTTAGTAAATCTCAATCCATTTTGACGGTTTAGCCATTAAATTTGAACATCAAGCTTCTACTAAATTATGCATATGAAAATTTAGAAATAGTTGGCCTTCTGAGATCAAACACCTTATGATTCAATGGAAAATGGGCTAAGAGTTAAGCTATTGTCATTATATGGTTCTCTTAGAAGTATCTTCATGGCTTCCATAGCTTCACAATGATCAATCATACAACATATAAAATCAACAAAACCTTACATATAAGATCATTCTTTAGAAGTACTCCTTATTTGACTTTAACTATGAAGATAGTCCTCTATAAAATTGGGGTTTGGGATGGGCCATGTTTAATTCTAAAGCATTAAATGTAACATGCAAGTCCAATCAAATTTGGTTGAGACGGATCAACATTACCTCCCTCAAGGTATTGTCTAAGACTTTGTTTGGGGCAGCTTATTACTGCTTCTTAAAGTAGCTTTCTACTACCGCCGTCTCAAACGAAGCCTAAGTCCAGTTATTGAGAGCATCTAACAAATCGGATCGAGTAGATTTTTAAAGCTATGCTTATGAATTAAGGCTAAAGCTATTTAATTCATTCAAGATTAAACCATAAGCTAGAAAAAACATAATTTAATATTTTAGTAAGAAGACATAGATATCAAAAAAATAAAAAACTTATACATAGCGGCAAAGAAATTATATAATTTTTGGCATGAAGAAACAGGCATCGCTTAAGTTGTGGATAGGCATTATTACTTTGGACAATAAGGAGTCAATGGGCCAATATATTTTGCCTTGTCTGGTGAAGCCGTCCTTTGAGATGCCAAACATTTGGGGCCCCAAAATGGAGGCAAGTGACCGTTAATATGTTTTATTATGCCTTTTAGGTTAGTGAAAGCATATATATGCCAATTTGTTGATCATGAAAACGTACTCTTTTTTAAAAAAAATTAAGAGCTTTAGTTTAACGTATTGATTAAAGAAAAAAATCAAACATAAGGGGGAAGTAGAAACTCCAAAGACAGTAAAAATAAGTACTCCAAAGACGGTAAAAAAAAAACCTAAAAACATCGAACATAACTCACTAAAAAAAAAAAAGGAGAGAGAGCGGTAATAGAAACGAAATCAAACTGTAAGTGGATTTAAAATCTAATAGTACGGAAATAGCTAAAAAACATGAGATATTATTACATACGGAGTCCGAATGTAAAGATATGTCCGAACTCCATTAAAATAACGTCACGTGTATAGTACACAACATGTATTGACTGGTACACACTGTGTATTAGGTGTGTATTAACCAACAACTCGATTATCGAGTAAATTTAGCTCGTGTTAATGATTTACCATGTGTAACTCTCTCTTGTTTGGAGATGATTTATCCTAAACATCTTGATAAGCTTCAACAGCTCGATTATTGGCATAATTATGGAGTTGAAATGCTTGATGAAACGCTGAAAAAATAACACAAAATAAGGGGCACACCTGACTTCGATGAAAGACAGTGGGGTTGGCCTATCACTGATGGTTCCAAGCTTCTACTTACCCTTCTTGTTATCTTGTGAGTACCTAGGATAGGAGGACATCTTGATATTGTTGTAGCAGGGGACAAATCTCAGAAGTAGGAATAACTTCGCACTAAGCCTGCTCGTGGAAAAATTTTTCCCCAATGGAGAAGTGAATCACACATATCTTTGTCACATTTATTTCATTTCATTTCCCCAACCACAATAACCTAAGAGACTTGCGATTATTGTGGGGTTGGATACACAATTTCCCTTCCAAGTAGAACATACACCGAGCTGGATTGAAGAATCAATACTCAAGATAGCACAACGTTAAGGTCAAAGTCAGTTTGCAATATAGTCTGTACGTTTTCTCTTTTCTTGAGTCATTTTATGTATTAGGTGTATGTTGGCCAAACAACCGATCACACACTCACGCAGAGGATAAAAATTTGAATATATGAATTTTTTCTGTTTATCGTATTGTACTATCTCAATAGTATTCAACAATATGTTAAAACAAAAATTAATTCAAATGTTTAATTAAATTGAATTATAACTAATCTTATTGTACAACTGTGCATCGTATAAGATGATCGATAACAAAAATTGAACTAATCGTAATGTATGATATGAGCATCATACTATGATCATAGCAATTAATTTGAAAATTATGATTTAATTTAAATAACCCAAACTATTTAAATCTCATAAGACTTGAGGGTCTAAGATTGAGTAGCTAGGGACATTTTTTCAAGGAGAGAGCTTTAAAGGAGAGGAAGATTTTTACTTGTAAGAGGGTGTTCAAGCCACTTAGGAGAGAGAGAGAGAAGGTGACGTTGAGGGAGTATTTTCCTTAAGAGTGTCAACGGGTGTGAAGGAGTTACATGATTGTTCCTGTCAGCTTGCACTTTGGATCCTCTGTATTGTGGTTGTGGAGCTTTTCAAGGAGAGCTTTAAGAAAAAGTCTTTAGGTGAAAGACTTACTAGCTGAGGAGGCTAGAGGGCGGCATCTCCGCCGTAATGAAAAACTGAAGGACAACATCTCCGCCATAATGAGGATCCGAAAGAGGGAGTAACATTTCTGTCATGTGAGGAGCAGGAAGGTTTGACATCTCCTCCGTACAAGGAACAGGAGGGAGCGACATCTACGTCGTGCCGTGAGGCTGAAGGAGGAGATTCTTCAAGGTCAAAAGAGTTTGTAAATGTCTTTTTTCACCTGGTAAGGGAGAAGGGTTTTTCCACATAGCTGAATGTCAAATGAGCATTAGTTAATGCAATACCCAAAGAGGATGACTTTAGAGGAGTGGGCATAAGTTGATTTTGATTGAACCACTATAAAAATCTCGTTTGTGTTTTCTTTATTTTCTTGCATTTATTTTCCTAAACTTTGGTTTACTTTGCTTATCTTTAGAAAAGTTGTGATTGAGAATTTTCTTGTTGAAATTTTGCTTAAAAGTTAAAAAAAATCTAAAAGTTCAAAAAATAAAAAATATATTTGTTTTTTACTTTTGATTTGAAAATTTTATTTTCTTAAAGCTTCCGTATATTACTCATGTTTGTAGGGGACTTCTTTGTATTTGAAGGGTCTTTAAAACAAAAAAAAAAGGGTCTTTAAAACAAAAAAAAGGGTCTTTAAACAGTATGCATCCATTCAATAATATCATAATGGTTGTCATCCTATAAAATCTAAAATCCATCTTCACGCTAAAACCTTGGTATTATCTCCTTAGTTCATAGTAATGACATACTAATTCCTCTTTTTCTGACTCACCATAAACCATATGATTCTCCCAATGGTCCTCTTCAAATTCTACTATTCTAGTGTGACTAAGGCCTAGAATAAACCTAAAGAACGGTCTCAAAGAGTCTATCTTCAGAAGATTAGAAAACTCTAATATGATAATGACCAAGATTTGATTTTGCATGAAAATTCCATTACGATAATAAATAGAAACCCCCCTTGGCAAAATTAGAAATCTCAATTAGAAAAAACAAAAACAAAAAAGCTTTAAACTTCGGAAGAACAGTTGGAATTTCATTTATCAAAAATGATTTTTGGCACTACAATTATCTTCCATTTATAACAAATCTCATTTTGCACTTCATCCTAGTTTTTAGACAATAAAATAAATAGCAAGCTAATGCTTTCTCTCAAAAGAAAGCTAATGCAACAAGAAAACACTAAAATTTTCCACAATCAAACATGAAGATTTTCCCAAAAAAGAATAAATTTCATAAAATTTTAAGTCAGCAGTTTTACGCTTATAGATGCAAGAGTTGGGACCCAGGGACCTAATCTCAGTCTTTGAATAACAACATTGACGCCTAGGCACTAGGTCCAGAATTTGACTTGAGACAATGATTTGACATGTTTCACATACACTATTAATATTATGTCATTATATTTCCCAAAAAAAAAATATTATGTCATTATAATTATCATCATATTACGTGCAAATTTATTATATTTTTATTCACATAAGAGGACTCCATATTGTTACTATGCATAGCATTGTAATCATCTTTCATAAACCATTAAATATGTTATGAAAACTTATTTTTTATTGTCCTAGTGATTGATATTCTAAATTCCTATTGCTTATCCCGTACCGAATTATAAGCACCACAGTTTTGGTGGAGCTGGTCTCAAACGTCCATAGAAGTGACAGACAGATAAAAAAAGTAGAACCCTAGGATAATTGTTGTATATTTCAATGGCCTTCATCATATATAATTAACCTTTTTAATGTTGCTACAATTTTCAATTAGAAATCTAAATTTATTACTATAATTTGTATTATTGCTATAATTGCTCTAGTAATACAACATGCCCTAAGAAAGCAAGTGGATTTGAACAAGGGATTTAATTAATTATGAAAGTGATAAGTTTAATTATATTTTGGTATGAAAAATCAACTTCCAATGAACAAGACTTCTTTCCAATCATTCATGTTCTACAGTGTTTTCCCCCCTTTTTAAGCTGTGAACAAAGAAACTAAGAAGGCAGAAAGAGATCAAGAAACCAAACAGATAATAAGGTTTTACAATGTAAAGAAGAAAAATGGCTGGTGAAATTTTTCAAAACAATTATTTCTCTTTTAGACATATTTCTTCAAATCAAAATCTGAATCCATGGTATATAGGCTTCAAAGTTTTTAGCTATTATTTTTAACCCTTCATTTTAAGGAAACTGCTCAACACCACGCGATGAAGTAGAAAAAGATCATACCAAAAGGATGGTACATATCAACAATTAGAATGTCTATCTCTACAAAATATGAAAGGTACTGAATTCAATTTAACAGTTTGCTCACATTTATTCGCATATAAACTTAATCCTGTCATGGATAAGAAGGAATGCTACATAGATACAGAAAGCCAGTCAAAATATTTAGAGGGCATACAAGTGGGTCACATTACCAAGGAAGATTTAATGGCAGAAGGAAGAAACAGAGCGGACACTCACAAATTGATGCAACCGAAGGCTTTCTCTCCCTTTGTTTGCCTGCTCTAATCAGCTCTAGATTGCCCAGCCCTTGAAGACAGAATAATGCCAACAATAAGGCCATAGAGCGCCAAAGCTTCAGCAAAGATGAGGATAAGTATCATTCCAACAAAGAGCTTGGGCTGTTGAGCGTTGGCTCTGCAAAATAATTAGAAGAAAATTGAACAAATTTGAAGTAGCCAAAATCACTGCCTGAACAAAGAGAATACCAATAATAAGCAGTAAAACGAGTCTATAATAGGTACTAGTCGGTAGAGTTAGAATGCTGATTATGGAAGCTTCTTGGGCCAGCAACCCATCAAAAGCAGAAATGATCCTAGCTTGAATCAAGAACCAAAATACTAAACCAAGTTCACAAATGTAAGCAATAAAACATTAGCACGCCAACAACTAATAAATGCACGAACATAAATCAGTCAAAAGCAAACAAAGATGAAATACATAGCATAGATGATGAAGTTGAGAGTGAGGTCAAAAAAGGGAGGTTGAATGGCGAAATCACTCAGAGCTCACAGAAAACAATGAAACGAGAAAGAAAAACAGGAAGAAAAAATATTTCTTCGTTTCTTCCTATGTTATTCTATCCATCTTTTACTAGTATCCCTTTAGCTAACAAATAAAAAAGTGATACTTCGGACAAAATAAAAGGATAAACAACTTAAAGTGGCCCTAGACCAAAAACAAATAATCAAAAAAGATGAAGAGAGGTGGGAAAAAATAAAGTGTAATGGTTGTTGTTGTGGTAGGGTGGGGTATTGGCATGTAGTGGCTACTTAGCTATAGCTGCCACATCAATCTCTTCCATCATCAGAGGAACTCGACCATGATTTCATTTTTAGAACAGTGGCCTGGTCTAGTGGACTATACTCAAATATATCCTTAACGTTGAATTTTTTTTGAAATTTTCAAGCGATCAGATGAATCAATCATATAGGAATTGTCTTTTTTTATTTTATTTTTTTACCGTCAAGGGATTGACCTTACTTGCTTGAAGTTTATGGTACTTGCCAACAGGATATCGATGTATATTGAGGTGGATCATCACAAGATCCCATTCTTTGAATATTTTTAGATGATGAACGTGATCAAGGGAGAGCTCTTTCTACTTGACATTGGACACTTCGAGTTTTCTATTAACTTTATATTGCAATTGATGTGCATGTTCTACCAATTGTTCGGTTGTTTTATGCAAAACGAATATTGGGAGCTTAATTAGATAGACCACAGAGGCTAGCGTTGAGTATAAATAATAGAAATAGGGGATTAACCTGTGGTCTGATTGATCGTATTGTTAAAGACAAAATCAGCTTAAGCAAATGTTCAATCCCATTGCTTTGGTTAGTCACCGATGAGACTTCGAATCATTAAGCCTAGCATATGATTGACCACCTATATTTGTCAATCTGCCTTAGGGCGATAGGCACCGCTAAGTGCAAGGGATGTGTCAAACTTCTTCCACAATACTCGTCAGAAATGACTGATCAAGTTGATGTCTCAGTCTAATGTAATGAACTTTGGAATCCAGTGAACTCGAACAACCACTAGCAAGAACAGATAAGTGACATTTATAGCATCACCGATCTTTTGATGAGGTATGAAATGTGTCATTTTGGAGAAGCAATCAACCACAATGAATAATGAATCTCATTTTCATTGATTCATCGATAAGTCCAGCATGAAATAAATGTTAATGTCTTGCCAAATGATGTTGGATATAAGTAGAGGACTAGAGGTGTGTAGAGTTTGGTGTTTTGAGTATGACCTTCGATGTCTAGACAAAAAACAACACTATTGTAAGAAGTTGTTGATATTTTTCCACATTGCCGGCCAAAAGAAACATTCATCAACTGCAGTAATTATCTTTTTACACCTCATGTATAGCTAACCGGCCTGCATGTAAATCTTGCACTATGCACACGCATAGTGAAGTCCTTAAAAGTTAAAATACAAAGTTGTTGTTGATTTCCTTTAAATGGATACTACAATTGTATGTGGCAAACATCACAATGCTCTCGCTGATGGCATTTTCCCCAAATCTAGGAAACACTATCGTCATCTGTATACAATTCTATGAGCGACAAACCCAATCAATTTAATTTGGAGAGTAATTTGCAAAGCTAGCTGTCCGCTAAGAGTGTTAGCAATAGGGTTTATATTTTCAGCTTGATGCTTAAAATTAAAGTGAATTTGTGGAGTAACAACACCCATCGAGCATACATTCAAGACAAATTCGTTTTAGAATGTAGACATTTAGATGGGGATATTATTACTAGAATTCAAGTTGGAATTTTGAAGTGGACGAATGCATCAGGTTTGTTGTTTTATAGAAAAGTACCCCTTAAGCTTAAAGAAAAAATTTATAAGATGGTGGTGAGACTTGCAATGATTTATGGCACAAAATATTGACCATTAAAATAGAAGCTTACAATTAAGTTAGGAGTTGCAAAGATGAGGATGCTTAGGTGGATAAATGGTTTTACACTTAGAGGTTGATTACAAAACATATATATATATATATGAAAAGGTTGAAGTAGCTTGAGTAGCAAATAAGATAATTTCTCAACAAATCTCCTATAATACCAATTAAGGCCTAGAAAACTCCGAATTTCTTTCTATAAATTGGTTGCTTGCTCAAGAGGAGCTATTGATTATAAATATGGATATATTAAAATTATCAATAGTTTATTCTATGATGAAAGTTTTGTTATGTTGAATAAGTTGATAGTTCAATCCACTTTGAAAGAAAAAACACATGATTCACTAGCTCAAAATGCTAGCTTTAAAAAAAATTAAGTTTAGTGACAGTCAAGATATTTAGAAGATTATAAAGTTAATGAGTATAAATTACTAAGATACACATGCAAAACATGTGTTTCAAATGCTAATAATAAAAGGAAAAAATTTATATAGCGAGCACATTTTTCTATCTATACAATTCATCCATGAAGTAATAAAATATATCAAAAGCTCAAAGGACTAAGTTGGTGGATAGATCTAAAAAGAAGTGTTGCATAACTATAGATAAATGTCTTGCGTGTCAATTATTTAAAGATGAACACTAAATGCTGGGTGGACAGTTGCAACCTTTCCAATATTTTTAATAATTTACAATGCTAGTTGTTGTTACTAGCAATGGAGCAAGGAAGGCCGAGAATAGTGACGAGCGCATGCATGAGTGAGGTTGATCATGCAATTACTGAATAGAGCATTAGAATGTGATCAAGAGAGATGAAGCCGAGTAAAGAGCAACTATGGTGGGAAATCAAAAGCTAGGGTTTTCTTTTCTCTTCCAAAATAAAGGTAAAGTTTAATCTAATTTTATTGTATTTTTCCAAAGTGATAAACCCTAAAATAGTTGTTAATTTTCTATGAAAGTGTGCTAAATTTTTTAAGTGAAGAAGAGGCAAGAAGAGGTGATTTTGCAAAAAAAGAAAACTATTTGACGTATGAATGAATCAAAAAAATATTAAGAATTTTATTGATGGTATAGGAAATAATTTTAAAATAAGTGTTTTAAGGATTTACAACGGAACGAAAAAAATATATTAAGAAGAGGGATAATTGGGTGTTTTGCAAAAGTTTAAGGAAAGAAAAGAAGGCATGTTCATTAAACAGAAATTTTAAAAAAATATATCATATGAAATTGGAAAGTTAAAATGTCATTTTATGTTGGATAGTGCTTTCTATATAGAAGACAGTTATAAGAATCAACAAAGATAGTTGTTGTATTTAATCTGTATAACTATTATCTTATTAGTATTTTCTTATTTAGATGGGAGCTAATGTATTAGAATCAATGTTTTAGCAGTCAAATTAATTGATTTACCAAAAATAGTTATTTTATCATATACAAATCCTTTGTGGATATATGAATAAAGTAATTCAAAACTTAAATTCTAAATTATAAGCATATAAGGTTGTCACTAGATCCACATTGGAAAGTTGTCTTTAAGACTTCAAAATATATTAAGATACCTCTTGAAAGCTTATGAAGATGCTAATTACATTTGATATCTATCTTAAGGAATTTAATTTTTCTATTACCCAACTTATAATTTAAACCATCATAATCAAGCCGCTTTCTATATTGATAACAATCCAATCTTTCATGAAAGGACTAAACATATCGAAGTTGATTGTTATTTTATTATGAATACTATTTTGTAAAAGAATACTATTTTGTAAAAGAATATATCACTCCTCATGTGCAATTGAAGAATAATTGGATATATATATATATATATATCCATTTTCTAAACATATGCTAACAGAAGTTGGATCAAATTGATATATATTTTCTAGCTTAAGAGGGGAGTGTTAGCATACAAAAATATAATGTTTGAAAAATCATTCATATTTAGTGACTGTTGTAAGTTTATTGGATTGTTTCTTATAACATTGTACCCATTCTTCTATAAATAAATACAGGAATCCTCTAGTGAACAGAACATACGTGAAAGAACTTTCTCTCTCAAAAAATGTACATAAGTTGACTCCCTTTCTACCCACCATCATCACTTCACCATATTGGACATTAATGCCATCCTTAAGTTTACATCAAGTTTTTTAAGGATCACTTAATAAGCATTCAACAAGCTGGTAAAGGATTAGTATTGTACCACTGCAAAATGCATGCATTCCATGAACAATGTAAGCATGCTTCATAGATGTACTATTCTATGTTAGTTAGTAGAGAGCTGAGGTAATTTAGAAATTGCAGGATGGTTGTTGAGCAATTCAAAGAAACTACATAGGAGCAAGATTTTTGGGTGAGCAAAAGCATTCATACACTGAAGGTTCAGGGTTTATCAATTCGTTTTAACGCAGTTTTTTTGTGCTCGATGCAAAATAAACCAAATTTAGGAACTTCAAGCTTACGATTATTTTCGTTGAGATCGTGTTTGTCTAGTGGATCCTAGGGGGGAAATTTACATACATACCACTTTATAACATCCTATTTACATATCTAACACCTAAAACTTTAATATTAGATGAATACCACCCTATATTATTTTAATACCAAATATACCACTTACATTTCTTTCCCACCACTCATATATTTCATTTCTACCACTCATATTTGGTATGAAAATGAACTATGGGTGGTATGTATGTAATATTAAAGTTTTAGATGTTAAATATGTAAATAGCATAGTATTAAGTGGTATGTATGTAAATCTCCCATCATAGAACCTGGGAAAAGGGCATTAGACAACAATGAGTATCATCTTTCTCAAAACCCCCATTATCCTCAGTTGAAAATCAACCAGAGGGAGCCTACAGAACCGCCGCCACTACGACAGAATAATTTGAAGATATCCAAGGACGATGCATAATATCAACTATAATAACACAACGTTTTCCCAAAAAAAAAAATAACCCAACGCGTCGAGATCAACAACTAACCAGCCCATTTCTAAATTACCTCGGATTCAAACCACAAACAATTAATCAAAAGACTAAGATTAGAAGAAATACCTAACTCCAGCATCGCCAACGATGCCTATGGCCATACCAGCGGAAAGCCCAGCGAGACCGCAGGCCAGACCAGAAGATAGGTGCGCGTAGCCATCAAAAAGGTAGTAAGACTTTGCTTTAGGGTTAATCCCCGTGCTGATGATGACGGCAATGATGAGACCATAGATGCCTAGCACTCCAGCCATGACCACAGGCACGATCGACTTCATCACGAGCTCCGGCCTCATCACACCCATCGACGCCACTCCCACGCCGCTCTTTGCCGTCCCGTATGCGGCTCCCATGCCTGCAAATGCATAAATAGATCAATCTCAGTGGACCAGATCCAAAATTAGGGGAAGGAATCAAGTCAAAAGGCTGCTAGTATGTTACAGGAGAAGACGAGGGCGGCAGCGGCGCCCAGGAAGCCGAAGAAAGGGGCTGTCTCGTCACCGCTAAACCCGGCCATCAAGAAGGTGATAAGATCTCCACGGTAGTAGGTCCTTTCTCTCTCCACCGATCGCCGGAATGGGATAACGGCGTCCTTTACCGAGATTTCTAATTTTCTATTTCCCGATTTATCCTGTTTTCTAAGGGAATGTTGCGTTTGTATGATCTTAAAATTTTCGTTTGGATGAAAATATTCTATAATTCAAGACGAGGCTCTATTTTTTATAAATTATCTTTGATTTAAGAGGTTGATTGGCTCTTCTTTTTCTAAACGCCATCTTTTTTAAGGGGCTTTTTTGTGGCACCACATGATTTGATTTAAGCAGGATTTTATAAATTCTCTAAATTCGAATTTCGAAAATCCTGAGATACCTAAATCTTGAAAATTGTTCAGTTACATTTATAATAAATCCTATTAAATCTCATGTGATTGTTTGGCTATAGATCCGATTTAACTAGTGGACTATTCCTCTTGAGCCAATGGATTTTGCAAATCCGGCAAAAAACGGGATTTCGAAAATCCGGGATTTAGCACGAAAAGGTAGAATTTTTTGTCTACATCGGCTTTCATTTGCCGTGAGATTTGGTTCTGCATTTTAGGCCATTTGGCTGGATTTCGCCCAAATCTGCCTCAAATTAGGCCTAAATCCTACTACCAAACAACCTCTAACAATTTTCATTCTTATGTGATGATTTTAAGATAAAATTTCAATACAATATTTTTGTGTCTGTCTCTGTTTATGACTAGCCGGCAATTATCATTAAATATTAGTGATATTATACACTGTCAAAGTATATATATATATATATATATGAAAAAATCAACTTCAAACATTGCCTAATACTTGCTCTGATATTTTTCAAAAGATTACAGCACATTATTGAATATTCTTCGAAGTTTATCTAAAACTTCTATATTGGAAACCTGATCAAACAATAATTTAAGATTGATGCTTCGATCGATGTGTTGAAAATGGTTCAAATTAAGGTTCGAAAAGTTTCGATCAATGCTAGAATAATAATCAAGTGACTTTTAGAACAAGTTTAATCAAGTTTTCGAAGAAACTTCAAGTAAAGTTTGAGAATGTGATTTTTACTTCATTCGCTATTTTGTGATCAACTCATTTGAGTTATTCTGTTATGCATGCAAATGTTCGCTAATGTCCCATATAATCTATGGGTGTGATGGAGGAAATTGTTAGACAATTTGAGTCATTTTACATTAATAATATCATTATGTTTAATATAAAAGTCAAGCCCTATGCTTCACCTTTCAATGGAAGTGTTGAAGTTCAAAGGCTTGAACTCTCAATTTTAAACAAAAAAATATACCTAATATTGCTTAATGTAAATGGATGGCATTCTGATGATCTTCAATAGTACATTTTACAGTGATGTATATAGTCATATTTATGCTCTTTATATTGATATAAAAGTAGTCAAATATAAGATGTATTATATATTTTAGCATATGCAGTTGTAGCAAAGTTTTAATATGTTCTTAAAATCTCGCATGCTTATAAACAAATTGAGGATCTTGATGAGGAGAATAAAGCAAGCCCAAAATATCTAGTTCTGACATGATTAAAGCGCTTAAAAGTTTAAAGAATAGTCTATGATTGAGGGAATATATACAAGACATCCGATAAGGGTGTTCAAAATTTTGCCTATATTTATAGGGCATGACACTCTAAAAAAATTATAAATAGGCATCTACTCTCTACATAAAGAAAGAGAGTGTAGGATGGCTTGAGAATTGAGATTCAATAGAGCTTAAAGGTTTGAAGAATCTTAAAACTCCACCCGAGCATCACCACCGGGCCACAGCCCAACTGTCTCCATCAAACCACAACCCATCCACCATTTTTAGACCATCGACTGACCATATTCATTTGATCACCGTCCAACTGCCACCTGATGGTCATCATTAAACCATCATCATCAGATCAATGCCTAACTGCCATTGTTATACCACAAAATTGTAGTCATTGTTAGACCAACACCCCAATCTCAACTATCACTATCTGTTCACTATCACCCGACTATGATTATCTGACCACAGTCATTCAATTATGATCATCAGAATATCTTTGTTAGACTATAATCCTTTGACCTATATCACATGAACATGTTCCTCCAATCACCTTCGTTTGACTATAGTCCTCTAACCATTATCACCCAACTACAATCATTTGAACACCATCACCCAACTATAATCTTTGACCACTATCATCCGACTACTATCCTTCAACCACTGTGACCCGACTACAACCTTCCAACCACCATCATTTAGGAGTAAAAAACTTAGTAGGAAAGATGAATTGGGCGTATATATTTTTCATTTTTTTTTTATGTTATAGAATTTATTTATGAAATTCTTTCCAATTCAAATAATAGTACAATCAAACAAAATGTAAGAAAGTTATAATAATAAATACATACAATGGAAGCAATAAATATAATAAATAAAATAATCCACGGAAACTAATAATACGTACACTAACAATATTTAAAATATAAACACATTAATAATATGTGCACATATTTAGGCAACAAATAATATAAGATATGATATATTAAACCGAGTTATCAATTTTAAGAATAAAATTAATAATGTAATCTTCGATTACGATTGCGTTAACTTATTTTTTTAAGTTGATTCTATAGATGCAATAACACAACGAAATAATCAAATTGAATGAATTATTAAGCTATTAAGAATGTTCAGAAGAACAATTTTAGACAAAAAAACATTTAATTTTTTTCGCTCTCTGAGAAAACCCTAGGGTTTTCTTGGTGGCGGCGTGGCTTTTCCCCGCCGGCGGCGGGCATTTTTTTCGGCGGTTTGCTCAGGAAAGTTTTCCCTACTCTGTTCTCTTGTTCTCTTAGGTGTTAGCTTCAGTTTTTCGTCTTTTTTTTCCGGCTGGTTCTATTAAGAATGTTCAAAACATAAAAGATAACAACACTGCACAAACTTATATGATAAAATAATTTTTGCCAAATGTCAAAATTAAAATATTCTCAAAATAGATAATATATTAAAAGAATAAAAATATATTGAATTGTGGGTATAAAAATATCGCTCGTTGAAAATGTTCTCTTTGTACAATAATGGGATGGATATTAAATAATAGAAGTACTTAATGCGCATATGATTGGTAAATTTAAATAATTAAATGCACACTAATCAATATTAAACAATCATAGCAAATGGATTGGATTATTCATAAGTGATTAATGATCGAGTTATTGAAGGAGATTTGTCTTTTTAAGATCAGAAAATGACGGTTTATCCACTGCTCACCATTTCCTAAAGCAATCATGAGAATAATATTTTGTTTGGGACAATTTTTTGTTGCATTCTAAAATAATTTTTTGATACAAAATTTTTTTAATTCTAAAAATTTTCTAGGGAGAGCTTAAACCATAGTTGAAATTATTCTGTGCGGAGACCAGACGAAGATTGCCATCCAAAGATCAATCACAATGCATCACATCAGTAGTATCGAGCCACGGTGCTGAGTGTTACCGAGCAATGGGGTGACATGGCACATTCTGATTGGTCTCTGGAAGACCCTCGGTGTCCGCACATTATAATTAATATGAAAATAAAGAGAGTTTAGAGATATGAAGAGCACTAGAGCTCTGTCCTTGACGACAATTGCTATCGATCATCTAACCAGCATCGATCGATCTTCATCATCTAACTATCAACTCTTGATTAAAATCATCTACCTTTATTGCCCTATCATAATCTCTAGCTAGATCATCGTCATCATTCTCCATTACTACTCTCAAAATCTCTACTATAAACATAGAAGACAAAGCTATTGTTTGTAATTTCGTTTTCTACAAATTGAGAAGAAGGGTATTCTTTTGTAATTTTACATACATAGCATATTACTTTATTTGAGCTAGACTTCGTGGTTCTATTCCTTCCCAATTTTTCTACATAAAAACTCCAATGTCTCATATAAAACTTCTTTTATTTGTGTGTGTTAGATCTTCATATAAAGTTAAGATGTTAATCTCTTGCTCTACTGTCATGAATATTCTAACATACAATCATTTGTTATTGCTTGAGGGGGTCATTCCCAACATTATATAAAAACTCATCTAATGCTTGATAGACATAATGGCCACAACAATGAAGATTTCCGCTCTAACACTTATTAATTAACGTATCAATCTCTCAATCAATGTGGACATAATCCAATTGATGGAGCTCATGTAAGTTCAACTTTAGTGAATTTTTAGGATAGAGGAGCAACAAACTCAAATCAAGTTATTTAATACTTAAATAATTTGCCCTACATATAATTTCATCACAATATGATAAAGTTTGCTACCCAATGGTTAACCATACATTAGAGCTGTGAGGCCCCCTGGTCATCGGCAAATTATTACGTTCGGTGTCCGGACGGCCCCAGTGTATTTGGATGACGTGGCGCGTCTGGATTGGATGTCTGGACGTCCGGTGACCGGTCGTAATAATTCGCCCTGGTCATCATGGTGAAGTTCCTTTAGAAATTCCTCCTCCACCTTAACAAATCTAAAATTTCACAATACTACTAGTTCAAATGATCTTTTACGTGATATCTGATTGACACATATTCCCCCAGTAGCCATAAAAATTTTGATTTGTACGAGCACATCGATTATTAGATGAACTTCATGCATATTCAACAAGCCTTTAATACACTCTTTTGCTATAAACTATAATTAGGAAATAATGTGGGTTTGAACTCCATAAATCACTCAAATATTAAAACTTTATTTTCACAAAAATGCTTATAAAAAATAAATAAAAATCAGGTATATCAACTATGAACTAACATTCAACAATCAAATCTATCAATTATTGTTGAGAGACTGACGTTGTCATTATTTGAAAATGTTAAAGGCAATGGCTAATTAGTAAGAAATAATACTTAACTAAATTAGTTGGTTAGTTTAGTATAATTAGAAAAATTAACAAGGAATTTAAACTCGGTAAATCACTAAATTATAAATAGTTTATTTACATTAAAATGCATATAAATTAAATTAAAAAAAAGGGTATATCAACTACGAACTAACATTCAACAAGCAAATCAACGAATGACGCTAACAATTAAAGAAATATTGTCGAAGGACTATGTGACGTCATCACAATTTTAAAAAGTAAAATTTACAT